ACATCCCTCTTCTAAGAATTCCAATTGAGTGTGTTAGTGTGGCCAGCTCAGGGCAATATGATATTATAAACACAGCACATATCACGTCTCTGCTGTTTATAGCTTCATAGCAAAGAAAACACGCCATTAATAACAGTAGAACCAAGAAACCGCTCCCAATAGCCACAGGAACGTTGCTGCAAGACAGGCATATGTAACGATGACTTAGCGCTCTTAAACGCATGTGTCATTAAATACAGTTCTCCTGACAACAGGCCAGCGAAAAATCTAACAATCTACAGCAAAACCATCAATTATTATGGGCGTTATAACATAGGTGTGCAGTTGGACGAAACATACACGTCGAACCCCCCCAGACGATTTAAATACCTGACGAAACATACACGTCAAACCACGCTGAACGGTTAATATTATCCTCTCATTTATGAGTAAGTCACAACTTGTCTTTTCATTTCACATTTCCAGCTAAAAGTCCATATGCATTTCTTATCACTTTCATGTGTACTACTTGTCGCATGCATCTCATCCTCCTTATTATACAAGGGTGGTTCAGGGTTGATGTGGACTTCATTTTCTTACAAAAAGAATAAATATGGCAGAATCACTAAAGTTTCACGCCTTTTCAGTATATTCCCCTTTAACAGTAACTTGTTATTTTCATCATCCTTGCAAGTTACTAATGCCAGTAACATGAACAGTTCCATCGTGGCTGCATAGTTAGTTCAGGAGACCCCATTCAAGTTCACATCAGTTTGAAATTTTGTCTTCCTGGGTGCACACTCAATGGTCCGAGACACATGAGAATCACTAAGGGGCTAAGTCATCTGTGAGAGGGTGCTTCATGATTTCACAGTTCACTGTTGCTAGTGTCATCTTCCTGTATGCGGCTGATGTTGTCATGCAGTAGGAAGAGATTCTTTGAACCCAGGTGTTCTCTTTTGAATCATTCATTGCCAATCATTGTCGAGCACGTTACTTTAATACTGTGCATTAATTGTTACACCATGTGGGAGAAAATTAACATGAATCACTCCTTCTGAATCCCAAAACACACCATGATCTTGCCATCTGACAGTTGTGTCTTGAACTTCTATATGGCTTTCAGAAAACTTATTGTACTAATCACAGACACTTGTACATGGCAGGATCTCTTTCCCTTACTGTACATTTAACCTGTGAAGAACTTCTGATGGCTTAACTTTCTATTTCACAAGGAATTTGATGACAGAGTACTGTTCTGTGTAAGGAGTGACAAGGTCTGGTGCCATCTTATACTACTTCTGATGCACTGAAGTGGGGTGCATGGCTACCTGCCAAGCTGTGAGTGCACCGTTGCCACCAACTGTATGTAAAACAGTTTTGTTTTTCTGGTGTTTACATCTTCAGGGAAAAAATAAAGTTCAGATTAACCTTGAACTACCTATGTAATATGTAGGTAAGTCAATAAGTAAGTTACAAATGGATATAGAACTTAAACAAATAAGAATACTGATTTGAAAAATGCTTTTATTTCTCAACATAATCTCCCCGTACACTGAGGCACTTGTTCCATGATTTCACATGCCCCTAAAATCCAGCAGCATAAAATTCTTTGGGCTGCTGTCAGAACCAGGCGTGTTCACACGGCATGGCCTACCTCATAATGCATGACATGTTGCATGTTTCCGTTGAATGGACTTACGAAGTTTCCTGAGGATGTTACAGTAGGAGTTGGTTTGTCCTTGAGGCTGGAATGCGGTGAGCAGTCTGCCTTCATGATCCCAGAAGACTGTGACCATCACTTTCCTGGAGGATGGTGTCATCTTAAACTTTTTTGGCAGGCGACGCAGGATGTTTCCACTGCATTGATGCACACTTTCTCGGGCTGGTAATGGTGAACCTAAGACTCATCACCTGTGACAGTTCGGGCTAGCATATCGTGTCCTTCAGCCTAGTAGTGATTGAGATGCTGTAATACTAGACCCATTCTTTGCATTTTGTGTTGTGGGGTCAGCATGCGCAGCACCCATCGTGCACAGACTTTGTGAAAACCTAACCTGTCATGCATTACGAGGTAGGCCATGCTGTGTGAACATGCCTCGTTCCGACATCGGCCCAAAGAATTTTATGCTGATGGTTTTCAGTGGCTTGTGAAACAATGGGACAAGTGCCTCAATGTACAGGAAGATTAGGTTGAGAAATAAAAGCATTTTTCAAACCAGTACTCTCATTTAAGTTCTATATCCCTTTGTAACTTACTTATTGACTTTTTCCCTTTGGGACTACAGCCCCAGTGGGCCTAGGCTTACCTGTATGAACTTCTCTGTTCACTTCGGTTTTTCTAGATCTTACACATTCGGTAAGACTCCTTGGGCAGGTGATCGGCTCGTCACCTCTACCTGTACACAAACACAGAATAACGCACACACACAAACTAAACATCCATTCCCCAAGTGGGATTCGAACCCACGTTCCCGGTTTCCAAGCGAGCGAAGACAGTACATGACTTAGACCACTCGGCTACCGTGACTGGCTACTTATTGACTTACCCTCGTATAACATACATAGTATACTAATCAGTGAAGAGTACATACTATGAAGCTTCTTGTTTCACAGTTTCCTCCAGTCTCCTGTTACTCTCTGTCTCTGAAGTACAAATGTTCTCTTCAACACACTGTTCCACAACAAGAAGCATTTTAATTTTTTGTATGTTAATCTTTTGGACTTT